AGTGCTAGACCCTCAGCCAGTGCCTGTGGTGGTGTTCTGGGTTACAGTCTGTGCCTACTGCCAAGGATGCTGGAGGCAGTGCATCTGACCCTTGACACCCACTGAATGGAGTCTAGAGCCCTGATTTTGTGTCCTGTTTATTCCAGAAAGATTTCTGGGTCTGTCAGTGGCTTGACTCTTGCAGGTCAGGTCAGGGATGTGGAACTAACTGAGGAGCTGGAGTGAACTCTAGGGACTGCAGTGCTAAGAGGAAGTGCCATGACATAGAGCAGACTCGTCTCTGAGTGGTGGCTGGCTTATGACCTGTCAACAGTGCTCTAGCTCTGAACCATCTCTCCTTTCCAAACAAAGCACATATTCTAGTGAAACTTATTAGGAAAGATGTTTATTTTGGTTTAGATGTATATATGTATGCCTGCACATCCAGATGTGTACCATATTCATGGAGATGCCTGCAGCAGGCAGAAGAGGGGATTGAATAACCTGGACTGGAGTTACAGGCATTAGTTGAAAGTCACCAGTGTGGATGCTGGGAACTTGGATCCTCTGCAAGAGCATCAAGTGCTTTTGACTGCCGAACCATCTTTACAGTCAATAAGGGATTTTTTAAATGCTCAGTGCTCCTGGGAGAGCCTTGATGTTGGCACCACTTCCTAACTCACTCATTTTTTTCTTCCATCTTTGGTTTTCCAAAAAGTCCTAGAAATGCAGTGAGGCCAGCCAACCTCAGAGGTGTGAGGTACCTTGGCAGGCAGATGTCATCCAGTATAGGGGCTCCTAGAGAGCTCAGTGACAGGCAGCCATGCCTGATATACCCTCCCCCTCATCCAAGGATCCCAGCCTGGACTGCACCCTATCTCTCCCCACCCAGGCACTGCCCCAGAGTATCATAGGGAACTCTCCACCTTGTCTGATGTCTTGGAGGCCCCCTCCACCTCCTCAAAGACCCAGGCTGTTCTGGGCCCCCAGGCTGGTTTCCTCTCTCAAAACACAGACAAATTCTTTGTAGCAATGCCCCAGCTGCCCAGTGTGGGGCTCGGTGTGGACCCGGGCTCAGCTTCCCTGGAGCTTTGCAACACACACGGGCAGCTTTAAGCAGGGGCAGCTGCTGGAATTCTGTGCCCTTCTAATCGCTTGTCTTTGGTGATGATGACTTGTGTGTGGTTCCCTTACATTCTTACAGAAGGAAATCAAGGAAAGCATTCTCTGGTATACTTTATTGTTCTTACATTTCCCACATTTTTTTGAGACAGGGAAGACATCCCTGAGTCTGGAGTCCTCATAGATTCCCCTCTGCAAGATGAAGACACAAAGCACCCTGCAGAGGGAGAGGGGCTCTGGATTTTGGAGCTTGCAGTCTGCAGCCTCCTGTACTTTGCCTCTCTTTACCTTCCCCATGCCCACTCTACATGCCATGATGCTGAGCCATGCATGAGATAAGGCTCTCCTGAGTGCTGGACTGAGCTAGCACTGGGGACCTGACAGAACTCATGTGAACCAACTTCTGATTCCACTGAGGGGGATATCACAGAGTGTAACTGGGCAGAAGGGGCTGAGAACAGCTCTTTGGGGACAGCACTGCACTTATGGACAGTGCAGACCCATGCACACTGATGGGAAACTGAAGGGAGTCCTTCTTGGTGCAATGCCCTAAGTGCAAGAAGGTGAACTTGAGTCTTCTAACTCGGTAAGAGCAGTGACAACGGCAAGGACAGCTGGAAAGCAAAACCCATAGAAAGACAAAGGAGGGGTCAGAGATGAGACTGGCCTCTGCTGGGAGATGAAGGGAGAGGGGACACAAGGACCAGGAATTCGGGCCGTAGTGAGCTGTGTGAGCAGACTTGGATGGGGTCAGGGCATGTCCCTCTCAAGAGAGAGGCTGGTTTTAGTGGCTTGTGGATCCCCAGCTCTCTCTGATTCATACTTGTCTTTTGCTTAGACACAAGAACCAGACTCTCAGCTTGAGCCAGGCCTGCCTGAGGTGGCTAATGGGGAAGAAAGACCCTGTAGAAGTTTGTTGCAGAGGTCTCACCTGCTGCAAACGGTTTGACCTCAGCCCTAAACCTCAGGAGTGAACAGCAGTGACATAGTAAACATCCTAGAATTATGTTATTATTGGCCCCATTTGCTCCCAACTACACATCACCAAGAAAAAAATTCCCCAACTCTAAACCCCAATACTGGTATCTCCTGCCTCACTTGTTCTTGTGTGGCCACCAGGTTTTGCTATCTTCCCAAGAGCTCCTTGCTTCCCCCAACTAGCCTTATGGTTCTAGGGAAAAGCCTGCTCTCTCTGCAGTGTTGTGCTGAGGGGGAGACATTGCATGGTTTAACAAAAAGTTTTTTTTTTTTTTTTTTTTTCTGGAAAGTGAGCTATTTGTAGCCCAAGTTAGTTGAACAGATTTTTCGTGGTGTGGCTTTTTTTTTTTTTTTTTTTTTTTTTTTTACTCATTAACTTCTTTTCCTTATGAATTAAAAAAAAATGGCTTTTCCCCACGGAGGAGTCTTTTGTTTACTTTTCTCTGTACTACAGCAAGGCAAAGCAGGTGCCCACCAGGAAGGTGGCTTTCCTTAAAGCCATAGCATCTTGGACAGGTAAATGCAGGTGTTCAGGTCCCCATTCTGCCTCCCTGACACCTGATGAAGCCCACCAGAGCCTCTGCTGGTTGTGCTTTTGGATGGGCAAAAGCCACCCAGGAATTCTGTTCAGACTTCAGCCCCTGGCCATTCTGGCCAGAGTCTATGACCTTTGTGACACTCACACTGTGCACATGGCAGAACTGGAGATAGATCCTACAAATCTGATGTTTGATAATGTCTACATGGCCTATTTTCCTGATCTCAGAAATGCCCCCTATGCATACAGTCTCTGTTGAGTCACAAGTGTCACTCCTCCTCAGCACAAAAGGTAGGTACCCCTTCCTCTGGGGGCGTCTTGAAGCTGTCCCTAGCACCATAGATAACCAGAGTTCCAGTACAGGGAGAAGATCACAACTCTCCCCTGAGGCTGAGGATCTCAAGCACCCTTGGGTGCATTTACATATAGTACCAAGCCAGGTTGCCCCTACCTGCATCCTTCAAAGTGTGGCTCTCAGGCCTCAGTGACACCAGTCCATTCATTTCCCATCAAGCACTGGCCTCTAGCCCAACTGCTTACATGGCACAGCTCATTCATTCATCTCCCATCTCCAGAACCATTTTACTATTATTTCTTTTTCTTAATCATTTTTTTTTGTCAAGCTCGGCATCAAGGACTCCTCCAAATTGTTTTTATAATCTAGTCTCTTCTATACACAGCCTCTCTCCCTTGTCTTACACCCCCCAAGGCCAAGTGCAACCCCCTAACTAGAGGCTACCAGGAGTGGCCCTCCCATCAAAGCCCCAAGGAACATTCTTCCTTTCTCCCACTTAGTTTTGCCATCAGGGTGACAGTAACAATCAACACACACTAAATGGCCAGCTGTTCCTTCATGGTTTTCTCCAGACTTACAGAACTGATGACAGCCATGCTCAGAAGTCCTGGCTCTTTAAGTGTGTCTGCCACTCCCTTAAACTGCCCATATTCCTTTATCAGAGTTCCAAATTCCCCAAAACTCCATGAAAAAAATTCAATGGTAACGTCAAACCTAAAAGATGTGCAAACATGTACTGGAGTCATTAGTCCAGGTCTCACTACAAAATGATTAGTGCTTTACTGTAGGTGCCCTCTAGATTCCAAAGAAGCATCCCAATGAGTCACATAACTCACCCGATCTGGTCCTGAGGCTGTGGAGGAGAGATTGGAATAATGCAAAGTCCCTACATTGGTCACAGACTGTCTGGTGAGGTGTAGACCAAAGGCACCTGGGAATGTGACAGTAACACAGAAGGTCAGAGGCATTCACACTGTGGGGCACTTAGTCCTATCAACTTATTGAAGATACAGGGCCACAGAATCTTCATATATAAATGGGACTCTGATCCTGAATCTGGCTTCGAGGTGCCCCCAACCCCCTTCAACACCTTGCCAGAGTGGTAGCTGAGGAGAGCATATATCACAGCCCCTGAATCTAGAGAAAGAACACCAGGGGCCAAAACTAAAGCAAGATTGTGCCAGTCTGGTCCCACACTCACATACTCCCATTTTACAGTCCAGAAAAGGAGGCTATGCAACCACACCCTGCCGTGTGTTTTGCATCTTGCCCAAGTGTGTGTGCTTCTAGAGTAGGGCCCCCAGCATGTCTATAGGAAGAGAGCTTGGGTACCGGACTTCTGCCCAACAACCAGTACCAGGGCAGGGCTCCCAGGCCTGCAGCTCCCAAGTGCATCGCAATGTGGCGAAGAAGGGTACTATATTCCCTGAACTCGTGAATCAGCTGCATGCAGCTGACAAACACAGTCCTAGGACAGGCTTTATGGAATGGCCACAGTGATGGAAGGTCAGAGGCCCTGAAACGCAAAGGGTTCCAGAGACAGCCAAGGGAGCACAGGGTCCAGGCCTAGGCTAAATGACAGGAAGGGAAAGGGGCGTTTCGGACTAGGCCCTGGGAATAGCCTGACTGCTCCAGCTGGGAGAACCAGAGGCCTGGGGGGACCACAGCGGGACGCCTCAGTCCCCGCCCCCACCGGCCGCTCCGGGTCGCGCGTGGGCGCGGCGGGCGCCGATTGGCTGGCGGGCGCGCGGGCGGGGCGGGTGGTGGCGGCACGGAGGGGCGGGTCACCCCGCAGCCGGCCTCGGCCTCCACCGCTGGTCGCCGCGCCCCGCCCGCGCGCCCGCCGCCACACGTCCCCCGCCGGCGGCCACCATGAGCACAGGACTGCGGTACAAGAGCAAGCTGGCGACCCCAGGTGAGCCCAGCGCCTGTCCGCGTGCTCGAGCACGCCTTTGTCCCCACCGCCCGCCCGCCTCTCACCGTCTGTCTCCGTCTCTCTCCTGCCCGCCGGCCCGGACCCTCTCGGACCCGCCCCACCCCGGACCACGACCCGGACCACGCAGAGGACAAACAGGTACCGGCGCCGCGCCGCTCGGCTGGTGGTGAGACCCGACCGGCTGTCACCCATTGTGGCACCGATGCTGGTGGCGCCCAGGCGTGACCCCGCCCCCGCCGGCCGTCACCCAGCCCCGTGGCGATAATCGATTGTCTATAGGGGCAGCGCCGCCGCTCCTGGGGCTACGAAGGGGAAGAGTGGGCACCACGCCTGGTTCCCTGACCTGCATAGTAGGGGCCTAGGCATCTCCCAGAAAGGGAAACTGGGTTGAGGACCTCTCTTCTCTGGTCCAGGGCCAGTATCTCCTTCCTAACCTGACCGGAAGGCCACGTGCTGGGGGTCCAGGGTGAGGCTGCAGTTATGACAGGCCAGGAACGGGATGGGGTGGAGGAGTCCTCCAGTCCTCTGAGCAGCACTTGGGGGGGGGCTCTGCTTACCCCACTTCATGTCCATGCACCTCTGTGCTTCCCTCTCCTACACATAAATTCATGCTCCCTAGTCCTTGGTAGGGCCTCTTCCAAGACCTGGAACTTCCAAGGCTCTCTATCTGAGTCATCCCAGTGCCCAGCACTGATCCTTCAATCCTTGGGTATAGCCAGGCTGGTTGGTGGCCTTCTAACCCAATTCCCACCCATCTAAGAGTGCCCGACTACTGAGAGGCTGGCCTGGGTACCCTGTGAAAAACCAAAGGACCTGAGGGTTGTGAAACCAGAGGGGTGTGGAAGTGGGTGACCCAAGGGGCTGTCCTTGGTGGCTTGAGATAGGCTCTGTTTGAAGGAAGAAAAAAAGGCCCAGTTCTGACACCAGAAGGCCATGGCAAGTCTTGGATGGAGGTTCACACCTAGCTTTGGTGCCAGGTGGACACCCAGAATACTAGACCAGAGTGCTTGGGGAAAGCAAAAGCAGCTGGCAGATGGGATGAGCTAGAGTCTCCTGGCGGGGACATGCCCCGCCCAAGACTGATGAGGCTGGTTGGGAGGGGCTCCCCCAGGAGCCTTCCTAGAGAACTGCTTCCCCAAGCTCATCCCAGCAGGCCAGACAAAGCCTGCTGGGGACACACGCTGCCAGGCTATTGTGTAAGGGAGAGGAAAGGGGCCAGAGGCTAGGGAGGCAGGGACTGGAGGCGTGCCCTAGGCCTCTGGAAGATCCTCCCAAGTCACTTGTCCTGGGTACCTCCTGTCTGCTGCTGCCAGGATGGAGACCCCCTCCCACACACACACACACACCTTCCTGCTGAAGTATGAGTCCTTCAGGTGTGCATCTGCCCACCTCTGAGATCAGTTAGGAGCCAGCCTCACACCATACCCAGCCCCAGGCCATAAGGAACAGAGCTCTGGGTCAGGGCAGATGGAGAGCCCCAGAAGGATGCCAGAGTTCTGTGTTTGGGCTGGGCCTCACGGGCCTGCGGGAAGCAGCACACAGCACCTCCAGTCCCACTGTGGTTGGTTGTACAGGACTTAACCAGGTCTCTTTCTTACTCCTGGGGGGGGGGGAGGTTGTCAGAGCAGCAGTCTGTGTGGAAGGAGGTCGCTGTCTGCCCTTTGCCTCCACACCCCTTTTTGGGCAGTGAAGTAGACTGTCAGCTGTGCCTACTCAGAATTCTGAGGATGGAAAAGCCTCAAGCGTTTCATTCTCAGGAAGTAGTGGGCACAGCTGTGGCATATGGCGACATATCCCTGAGGAATATTTGTTGAGCCTCAGGAACTAGAAAAAGAAGCGCGGAACCCACCTCCCTTAGGGCTTCTCCAGGGACACACAGGCTAGGATGGCCTGATTGGGTGATACTCAGACAGGTTATGAATGGGAAGTAAGACCTGGACTTCCCCAGAGAATGTACCTTCCCAGTGGACAAATTGAGAGGCAGTCTAAGACCAACTAGCTCTGTTCGGCATCAGGGTGTGGCTCAGGCAAAAGCTGTCTGTGGTCTTCTGGAGATACCCTGGACTAGAGACACCACCTGTCCGGGTAGATGCTGGGCTAAGAGCTTTGGCTGTAGCAGCTGGAGCAGGGAAAGTGGGTGGACTGAGCCTGGAGGTTTCCTTGAGGTCAGGCAGGAGCCAGAACTGGGAGGCCACTCTTCAGCCCTGGGATGAATGGCTCCCCTGTTCCAGCTGTGGGCCCACCCTCCTCCCAAGGTGCCAGCCACCCTCATAGCAAGACCCAGGGTGGAGGCCCCTCCAAGAAGCCAGTGTGGAGAGCCTTCCTGGAGGAGGGGTGGGACCTACATGAGGAAGGAAGGTCATCTGGTCCTTTGGCCACTAGTTTAGTTCCCCCACACACACTCCCCACCCCCACCCCACCCCCGCCTGGGGAGTAGGTGTGCTCTGATTCTAGTGGGGATGAAAGTGAGGAGTGAGGAAAAGTGAGCGGGTCCTGGGAGATGTCTTCCCAGTTCACCAGCTCCCTGTGATTCCAGGGGCTTTTGGTGCCTAAATTAACTGCATGTTGTGGGCAGAAGTTTGGCCCAGTTTCGGCCTCACCAGGGCTTCCAAGCTAGGAAGGAAGGAGGCCATCCGAACTCTGACCACTGCATCCCCTCACACCCTTTAGTTTGTTTTTTGAGACAGAATTTCTCTGTTTAGCTCTAATTACCCTGGGACTCACTCTCACTATGTAGATCAGGCTGGCCTCGAACTCACAGAGATAGAAGTTGAGATGGAATTAAAGGGAGCAACAGTCGCTCAGCCTCCTGCACCCCCTCCCCACTATTAACCTATGCTAAGCAGAGGGGAGAGCCAGATCCTGACTTAGTAAGGAAGGTGCACTCTGTCCTCAGCGCATATGAAGATGCCACGCAGGAAAAGAATTCCCCCAGTCACAGGCACGTGGGGGTTAGTAAAGACTGAGCCCCAAAGAGTGGGGAGGGGTGTGCCTGTGGGTAGTTTGGTCTCCATGGCACTGTTGAGGGGGTTCAGGTGAAATGCGAGGAGAGCAAGGTGTTGGCTGGGGCCGCTTCCCGCGCGGTTGCGCGTGGGTCCGGAGCGTTCCGCAGTGCCCTCTGGTGGGCGGCAGTCGCATGGCGTCCGGAAGGCAGGTCGGCGACCGCAACCACCTCCCTGGCCGCCTGTGGACCCGTCTGGACCCGGCCTCGGGTGCCACGGCTGCGCTCCGGATCCACGCGGCGCCCCCGCCCGCGCGCCTCTGCTGGGCCCTGCCCTCCGCAGCCGTTTTCTCGAGGCTCCGCCTGCGGCCCAATTTCCAAGCGACTGTTTCCCGGCGACGGCGGGCGGGGCGCTCCCCGCCACCGCTGCCAGGAGCCCGAGAAGCCCCGCCTCGGGCTCCAGTGCGCGAGCCGCTGCTGAGCCTCGACACGGCCGCAGCTCGCGTCTGAGACAGGGGAATGGCTCGCACGACTTCTGAGGTCAGCGGCCTACTAGGTAGGCGACGCTCCGTCTCCGGGCCTCAGTTCTCGTGTCTTCAAAACCGGAGCCAGAAGAGGGCTTAAGAGCTAATTTACCCAGCGCGAGTTGTCAAGATCGCTGGCCCCGACTGCCCTGACCCCGGTGTAGGGTCAGAGCAGGGCCCGCAGGGTCGCCACGATGGACTCATTGGCAGCACCCCAGGATCGCCTGGTGGAGCAGCTGCTGTCGCCGCGCACCCAGGCCCAGAGACGGCTCAAGGTGTGTGTGTGTGTGTGTGTGTGTGTGTGTGTGTGTGTGTGTGTGTGTGTGTGCAGACAGTAGAATGTGGGTCATGTATGCATGCTTGCTTGGTCAGGGTGTGTGTATGTGTGTGTGTGCAGACAGAGTAGAATGTGGGTCATGTATGCATGCTTGCTTGGTCAGGGCCATCCAGCTACCAGAGAAGGTAGCAGGGGCTCCCAGGGCAGATGTCCACTAGGAATGGATGCAGGCACCTCAGACCCTGTGGTGGGGGAGGCTCGGTACTGCAATCTATAAATAGCCCCTGCTCTGATGCTGCTTCAAGAACCACCACCCCCAAGCTTGGTTCTGGGCCAAACACACCACCCACCCCAGATACTCTGGGTGAGTTTGTGCTGAGGTCTGGCTGCTTCCACCTATGGAGGTCCTTGAATGTGTCTTAGGGGTGTCGGAACTGATCCCCACCATCCACCTGGGGGTGCACACCTCCCTGTAGGGCTGATATTCCCTCTTCTCCACCCCAGCCTTGGGTCTCTGCTGGGGCTGGGACAGGGATGCTTTTCCTGCCACCCCCTCACCTCCCTCCCTCCTTCCAGCCTTTGCTCTACAGCCCTCATACCATTTTTGCTGAGGAAGTGGCCCTTGCTGGGGCTACACTATCTGATCATCTGAGCCACATAAGAGACAGGGCCTTGGGCTGCCAACAAAGATCTAGGACATGCCCCTGACCTGCTCCAATCCCACCCCTGCCCTCAGGACATCGACAAGCAGTACGTTGGCTTTGCCACACTGCCCAACCAGGTGCACCGAAAGTCAGTGAAGAAGGGTTTTGACTTCACCCTCATGGTGGCCGGTGAGTGACCAAACTTCTGGGTGGAGCCTCTGAGTCCACAGGTCAGCCTAGATCTAACCCAGCTCTTTCACTGTCCCTTATGGTCAGGTGAGTCGGGCCTGGGGAAGTCTACTCTTGTCCACAGTCTCTTTCTGACTGACCTATACAAGGACCGGAAGCTTCTGAGTGCTGAGGGTGAGTCGTCCCATATAGTCCTCACCAGTGCACTCATCCCTGCTCTGAGAAACCTCACAGGGCACCCTTCCACTTTCCTTGAGGTATGGGTCCCTCTTTAGGGATGAGGAGGAGTGGCCCAGAGCATAGAGTCAGGCTGGGTAAGAACAAGACTCCTTGCTGCCCACCCAGAGTGAAAGTGAAGATGGCCTCGACACTGTGTCTCCTTCCTTCCTCTGCAGAGCGCATCAACCAGACAGTTGAAATCCTGAAACACACTGTTGACATTGAGGAGAAGGGAGTCAAGTTGAAGCTCACCATTGTGGACACACCTGGCTTTGGGGATGCTGTGAACAACTCTGAGTGGTGAGGAACAGGCTCCCTGCCCCATCCGCCACTGCCTAGCTGCTCTCAGAGCTGGCTTCATTCTTCCTCCACTTTTAGTTGGAAACCCATCACCGACTATGTGGACCAGCAGTTTGAGCAGTATTTCCGAGATGAAAGTGGCCTCAACCGGAAGAACATCCAAGACAACCGGGTGCACTGCTGCCTGTACTTCATCTCCCCCTTTGGACACGGGTATGCGGCAGGCAGTCCCAGTGCCCGGCTCAGGGTGGCTGTCACTATCACTGTGTCACTGCCCTCCCACAATGCTAATCTCCACTCTAACCCTGCAGACTGCGGCCAGTAGATGTGGGTTTCATGAAGGCCCTGCATGAGAAGGTGAACATCGTTCCACTAATCGCCAAAGCTGACTGCCTGGTTCCCAGTGAGATCCGGAAGCTGAAGGACAGGGTGAGTGTTCTATAGCTAAGGGGTCCTGACCAAAAACTCCAGGGGAGCTGGTCCATGCAGGTCTAATAGCTCTTGCCCCCACTACTGCAGATACGGGAAGAAATTGACAAGTTTGGGATCCATGTGTACCAGTTTCCGGAATGTGACTCAGATGAAGATGAAGACTTTAAGCAACAGGACCGGGAACTGAAAGTGAGCTCATAGCCAGGAGGGCTGAGGGCAAAGGAGGTTTCTGGGACAAAGCACTGGAGGCCACACAGGCCCTGGGGAAGGGCGAAGCACCCAGGTCCAACATGATCAAGGCAGGAGTCATTTGTTCACAGAAAAGAGGGACTACGCTCCTGTCCCAAGGGCTACAGGCTAAGGTCACGTGTATCCATGTCTAGTCTACAGTGGATCTTTTGGACCTCCCCTGGGCTTACTAGAGCACTTAATTGGTACCATTCTGGCCTGCTTTCCAAGAATCAGCAGTGGCTTGGAGATGTGTGGAGCCCTACTTCCTGAGATTCTGAACTCCGGAGGGTGGAGGGCGGTGGCTTTGAATACCCCAGAGGCTAGAAAGGTATGACACAAAGCTGAAACAGGAACTCCCGGGGCCACTGGACCAGAAGCAGATGGACAGGGCCATCTACCAGAAAGCATGGTCTTGGCTCTGACTTGAAAAATGGAGGAAGCTCGGAGAAGCATCCAGAGCCAGAGAAGTGCACAGTCTGGCAGAAGCCCCAAGGCTTTGAGCTACGCAGAGTCTGTGGCTTTAGTGGGTAGCAGAGGCACCAGAAGAGGGGCCATGCCAGTGGGACAGAGGTGGTGGCAGCACTGGAATGGCCACGCCCCCTCAAGCCTCTAACAGCACTGGTCTGGGCTTGGTCCCTGTTTCTCCTACCCCAGGAAAGTGCGCCCTTCGCTGTTATTGGCAGCAATACGGTGGTGGAGGCAAAGGGGCAGCGGGTCCGGGGACGACTGTACCCCTGGGGGATCGTCGAAGGTGAGTTGAGGCAGGAAGCGCTGGGTGTGGAGGAGGCTCCCCCTAAGCAGAGGCCTACCCAATGTCCGCTCCTGCCCCACAGTGGAGAATCAGGCACACTGCGATTTTGTGAAGCTTCGAAACATGCTAATCCGAACTCACATGCATGACCTCAAGGATGTGACATGCGATGTGCACTACGAGAATTACCGTGCACACTGCATCCAGCAGATGACCAGGTGAGCCACCGTACTGGATTTGCCTTCCCACCATGGCCCTGGTACTACATACACCAGAACTTTGTCCCAGTCCCTAGATCATCCCAGCATCTTGATGTTGGCAGGAACCAACCAGGCATCTCCCACTCTCCTAACCTGAACCTCCCAGCAGCGCAGCTCTCTCATTTCACAGCAAACTCACACAGGACAGCCGTATGGAGAGCCCCATCCCGATCCTCCCACTGCCCACCCCGGATGCCGAGACAGAGAAGCTTATCAGGATGAAGGATGAAGAGGTAAGCGGGGGGGGGGGGGGGGGAGAAGTGAAGGGTGGGAAGGAGAAGCAGAGGGCAGGGCCAGACCTCTGTTGTCTTTTACACTCTGACTTGTGTTGTCCCCACCCGCCAGCTAAGACGCATGCAGGAGATGTTGCAGAAGATGAAGCAGCAAATGCAAGACCAGTGACACCCAACCCCAGGCCCACAACGCCAAGGATAGACGGCGGTTCTCGGGCTGGCCCCTCTTACCCCTGGATCCCAGACTGCCCTGGATTCTACCCTGGGTTCATCTGGATCTCAGACGGCCTGGACCTAACCCTAACCCAAAGTGGCTTTGACCAGACTGTTCAGAGCCACAGCCCCCAGATGACCCTAATTTATTCTCAGTACCCACCCTTCCTGGTCATTTGTATCTGCTTCTGAGTGGTCTAAACCACAATCCCTCTCCCAACTTCCTGCTGCCCCCAAACCCCCCCCCCGCTCCCACCAACCTTGCACTTCCCGCCTATCTTAAGGGAACAAGTTGTGCATTATCCCCAAGATCTCTCTTCCTAAGAGGTCACTGCCCCAGCGGGCCAATAAACCAGGGTAGAGGAGGGACAGGACGTGGATGCAGGATTCTGGGCCTATTACCCAAGCTAGTACTGCAGAGTGGAATTGGAAGGCCCATTCTGCAGGTTCCAGTGGGCAATGAAGCATATGCTAATGCTACTATGTGCAGATGTAGGCCGGATCTTCCCTCACTCCTTAACCATTCTCTGTTCAGGGCCAGAGCACATGGATTTGGAGACTGAGGCCTTTAGGAAGAACCCAGACCTAGATGCATCTAGGAGGAAGGCCAGACTTGAAACTCTAGACTGCTCACGCTTCTTCCTGGGTCAACCTGAAGGACTCCAGAGGCAGCAGGAAAGGGGTGTCACCTATGGCTAGACGACTTTCATCTACTTTTGGGTTAAGGTCTTCTCCCAGCAGCATTGTTGCACTGGGATTCCAGCCATTGGCCTCCATCTCTCCACCCGCATGATCCCTCCTTACACACCCCATTCTCCGTTTTTGTTCAGTTGAGAATGCCGTGTCCTGTCCTGGTGACAGGAGAACAAAGTTGGTGAATGTAGCACCGAGTTTCCGAGTGTTCCATGAGCCTCTGGGAGCGGGCGTGGGGGGTGGGGGGGGGGCGGAAGCCCGGGTTGCCTGAGGGAGCCAGGCGATAGTGCCATATCTGTCGCCACAGCGCCCTTGCGCTCAGGCTCAAAGTTATTTCTGGCCAAGCGGTAAGACTGTGGTCTGTTGCTGCAGTTTTTGGAGCATCACCACTCCAGAACGAACTGGGCTGCCATCCTTTCGCCATGGGCTCCCGTGAGTTCTAGGGTCGGGTCTGCTTCTTCCTGGACGCCAGGTGTTCTGGTTTGGGCAGCAATAGGCAAAGGCTTGGGTCACACTGGGGGGCAAACACTAGCCAGCGTGCAGGGTGGCCGGGGTGGAGGCGCCTGCGGACTCCAGGGACGCTAGCTAGCCTTAAGAGCAGGTGGTAGCAGCGCTCTCCTCCCGGTGATGCTTGCAGCTCATCCCAGGGCTTCTCTTCCAGGGCCGCGCGGGGCGCTGAGCCTGCTGCTTTTGCTGCTAGCGCGGCCCAACCTCCTAGCCACAGGCTGTCCGGCGCCATGCAGCTGCGCAGGGACGCTCGTGGACTGTGGGCGCCGCGGACTGACCTGGGCCTCGCTGCCCTCTGCCTTCCCTCCCGACACCACCGAACTGGTGCTGACCGGCAATAACTTGACGGCACTGCCGCCCGGGCTTCTGGATGCACTGCCTGCCTTGCGTGAAGCGCACCTAGGCGCCAACCCCTGGCGCTGCGACTGCCGCTTATTGCCGCTGCGCGCCTGGCTGGCCGGCCGCCCCGAACGCGCGCTCTACCGCGACCTGCGCTGTGTCGCGCCCCCCGCGCTGCGTGGCCGCTTGGTGTCCTACGTGGCAGAGGACGAGCTGCGGGGGGCGTGCGCTCCCGGCCTGCTCTGCTGGGGGGCTCTAGTGGCGCAGCTCGCACTGCTGGTCCTCGGGCTGCTACACGCACTGCTGCTGGCGCTCCTACTGAGTCGCCTACGGAAGCTGCGTGCGCGCGCGCGCGCCCGTGCCTTCCGCGAGTTATCGCTCACAGCCCCGTTGATGACAGAGCCGGCCGGAGCTGATGCATACTAAGGACAGGCGCAAAGCAACAACGACCTGCAAAGTTTGCAGGTCCCTACTAGAGGACCCTCTCCTTCACCTGGATCAGCCTCTGCCCTTGCCCAGTCTTCCAGACCCAAACTTGGCAGGCCTGAATCCACGTGGGGCCAAACTGCTGACAGCACTACTGGGGAGTGAAACAACCCTAAGCCTTCAGAGCCTTGGGAGAGCCCAGTCTCCCCCTGCCATCTTCATCACTGAATAAACTTTCTCCTCCCCATCTGGCGGTTTCTGTACCACCTAACTTTGCCCAAATTCCAGAAAGGGCCTGCGGGAGGCTGTTCAAGGGGACGTTTTCATGCACGGCCAAACTGGCCTAGGGCAAACAGAAGTCAGTGGTTAAAATTCCCTCTATCCAGCTGTCTTCGAGGTCATTCGCAGTAAGGATGTTGTGGACAGAGAGGTCCCTCTTGCAACGAGGAAGCTTGGAACAGTACGGGCAGTACGATCAGAGGAGTGGCTCTTGTGAGAAGTCAGGGCTGTGAGAGCCTTTCAAGAACAGCTCAGAAATTGAGGTGTTCCTGGTCAGTGAGCCCACTGTGTGAACAGCTATCAGACAGATGGAGGTGACTGTGGGCCATCGCCCACAGTCTAGACAGGTAGGCAAGGCCAGGGGACAGACATGCTGCAAGGGCCTGCAGATATAAGTTTAACCAGTCTCTGAAATATGACCTAGAGGGAGCCAGGCCTTCTCCTACACCCCTGGACCCTCCAAGTGTTCCCATCCCCTCTTCTCAACCCACAGCAGCAGCAGCCTCAGCCCTCCCTGACAGCACACATTACCCCAGTCTCTGTCCCCTTAACTGCACATCTACTGCACGGCTGTGGTACACCTGCCACCTCCTGCCTGGGCCTTTGCTTATGCTATTCCTAGCCTGGCCCATGGTCCCCTCATATCACTTCTGCCTCTCCAGCAAGTCTCCTCCTTCACTGCTCGGGACAAGAAGCTCTCCATTTACCAGGGAGGAACTAGCTCACTGCCAGTGAGCACACCGTCACCTTCCTCACTGGAGGCACCAGGCTCAGGGGTCCCCATCCTGTGCTTGATGTGTGTCCCACCCAGCTGCCTCTATAGATAATGGAAGCTTTTGTCCCTGCCCACCCTCATGAAGAGCCTTGAGTCTGGGCACAGAAAAGCCGGGCCTCTGACCGCCACTGACCAGGTCGGGGAGGCTGTAGCTGACATGGCCTTTGTCCTGGCCTTTGTGGGACAAGACAGATGACCTTCCAGTAGGCTGATTCTATCTAGAGCCTGCCAGTCAGAGTGAGGCATAAGCCATCCCCCACTATGTGGGCAGGTGCAGGGCATCCGGCCATTGTGGCCTGCAGCAAACTGAGTGCTTGTCTATCCGGCCTTATCACTGCATCAAGGACAGTGTCCTCTTTGTTCACCCTCCCCAGGGGTGGCCTGTCACCCTCAGAACCCCTGGTTGAGGCACACAGATAACACCTTGAAGTCAGTAGAATGCAGTGTGGGGAGGGGCCACACCTTATGTTTTTCAGAGGAGCAAACCAAGTCTTTCAGAATCACCTCAGCCATCCATCCCCCTCTGTGGCTGTGATGTTGGGTCCAGAGCTGAGATGAGCTTCCTGGGGTCTCCACTCTCCTTCTCAGTAGGAACCCTTGGGGGCGATTTCAGGGGCTTAGGAGAAAGTGACCAGAGGAAGTACATAACCCTAAACAGGGGCACAAATCCTATCAGGGGCTGTAAGAAGGAGCCAGGCTCAGTGCACACTGCACACAAGGCTTTACGGCTCCAGGACCAGTGTCTTGGTGAGAGGGTGGGCTTGGGAATCCTGAAGGACAGTAGCCACAAAAGCAAGAGCCTTGCTGATGAAGAAACAAGGCTGGCATCACAGTGTGTTCAGACAGGAGGATGAACCTCTTGCTTCCTGGTTAAGGCGTCAGTTGCACCCATCATTCCTCTAGGAGACCCCTCTTAACAAACCATCAGTGGTCTCAACTAACCAAGATACTAGTCTGACCTCAATGGCTGGCCCTCCTAGTGCCCTGGAAATTTCTTCAGTTCTAACTCCTGACCCCAAGCTGACCCTCCACGTGCTTAGCCTGGGGTCTCAGCCTCCAACAAGTGTGGGGAAGTGGATGGTCCCAGCCCAGTGCTTCTGAATGCACACACCTCCTCAGCCCAGCCTCCAGCATTGTCATCCACTTCAGAGACAACACACCTGCCCTGGAGCTTCTCCCCCCCCCTCACCAACTGGTCCCTTCTGTGGCCTGGGACTCCTAGATGAGCACAAGCCATAGGGCCCCTCTCAAAGGCCTGTATAGTATTGTTACACCCATACAGACCCAGGCTGGAGGATTCTGGGCCCTTGCTTCGGAGCTCAGGAAGTTGGGAGTGACTATACCACACTGCCCACACATCCCTTGGTCTTCCAAGCCCAGCGTTAGAGCACCTGTCCCACTGGCTGCACCCGTCACACCTTTACCCACCAGTGGATCTGCTATCTCTCCTATGACCTTCATCCTTATCCAAGGCTTCATGGAACTGAGAGATTCCCAGCTTCAGCTAGTGTAACGCAGGGGACCAGAGGAGCATTTAAAGACTGACCGAGGAGCTTAATAGATGGAGTCCCAATAAAGCCACACAAGGCCACCAGCCTAGGCATAGACAGAGCGGTAACCTACCGCAGAGAGCTTCTATCTCATTGTGAAATAGACACGTGTTGCGGGAGGTGCGGTGCGGGCTGTGGCCTCTTTATTTAAATAAGTAACTACTGCTGAGCCCTATCTTCCTTTCAAGCACTATGACCCCAAATGGCACCAGAGGGCGCTAGCGACCTGCAAAAGACGCAGAGCTGGGCGCTCAACGTGCAGGCGTGGGCGAAGACTAAGGACTTCCAGGCTGTCCACCTAGAGAGCAGGGGACCATCCAGACTGCACGAGAGGGGTTGGCAGGTCATTCCCTCGGGGGCATGGAGAGGAGGGAGCTGGAGGCCGCTGACAGACGCAGATGAGTGCGAGTACCCTTCCTCCTATCATTTGGCGCACTGACAGCCGGTCAACCGCAAAGATAAGGACCTCTTCCGCCTGGCGGGAAGGACGTGGACCAGCCCAGGTGCATCCCCCATCAATGTTTGCTCCGCAAACATTCAATGGCCCCCCGCTGTGTGCATTGCGAGGGGGCGGGGCTGAAGGCAGCGGGTGCTGGACTCCTGGATGACGAGGGGAAGCTCAAAGATTCAGAAAAAAAAAAAAAAAAGGCTCAGGCATCTCCTGGCCCCTCTGGTGACCGGGGGTAGCATTGGGGTCCTCCATGAGTTCCCATAGCCTGGAGAAACCTCGGAACTTGGTTGACCTGCTTGAGGCCATCACAAGGAAGCTGCCCTGGGAGAGGTGTGGGGGCCCCCAGACTAGGCCACGTAGGAGGGGGAGGCCCGCACCCGCTGCCCAGACAGAGCAACAACATTGGGGTGGGTGGCCCATAGCTCACCGCAGCGTCTGCGCCCACCCCCAGCGTTTCCGATGGACGACAGGCGGCTAGTGATAAATCACCAGCTCCCACTCCTACCCACCCAGGGCTAACTGGTGGTCAAGAAGGGCTGCAGGGCCCGCTATCAACAGAGACAAGGCCTGGAACAGACAGGAGACAGGAATAGAGTCAGAGCCTTTTTACACGAGCTAGTCCTTGCTGGGGTATCTGAGCTTCCCAGATACCTTTTCCATAAAGCCCATCTGGAAACCAGCTGAGAGCCATCCCCACCCTACTGACCCCAACTGGAGGTGGAGAGCCAGGCCTCTGCAGCAAGCTTCAGTTCCCCTGGAGGACCATAAATCAGTAGGGGGCACTTGGAGTCCGTGCCCCCAGTAGAGTGAGGGTCTTCAGGGGTCACTGATCCTAGTGACTAGGCCTGGCCTTGGCTGTGTCTCTCCCTCCTTAAACAGCTCTTGTGGGACCTCCCAGCCCCCAACCTTTCCTAGCTAGTATAGTCTGGCCTGGAGCCCTCCATCCCCCCTGTGCTGCCTGTGCTGCTCATGCCTACTGCCCTTTTATCAAAGACAGGAAAAGCCACGAGGAGTGATGTGTCCTTCTTAGGAGAAACCCTGGGGGCTGGCCTGTTCCTGGTCCAGAAGAGCCTGTGGGATCAGCAGATCCTCCCCAGTGAAGCTGTCCCTGAGTCTGCTCTGTCTAAGGAAATGCAGTCTATGCCTTGTTCCATTCTGTCTTCCTGCTGCTTCTCCTACCCAGAGTGCTGAGAGGTGAACCGAGGATGGCCCCAGGTATGAGCCACCCTCCTCACACATACACCAAGGCAAGTGTGAGTCTGGTGCGGTGGGAGAGGCTGAGAGCCCAGGCCTGGCTCTCAGCCCTCTGGGGAACATTTCACCAGCCCCTACAGAGCTTCCTTCAGGACATTCCTGTAGAGCTAAGGCCACTTGTGTACTAAGAACCCCAGATTTTCCCCTTTAACCTGTCTCTGGAATAGGGTTGGGGTATCCCGGGAGCTCCTCTGGAAAAATCTTGGGAACGCTTAGGATTGTGCCTAAGAGGCACCTAATGACTGTGGCTGGCCTGGGCCTTGATCCTCTGAGCAAAACCTCAAGTCAGACACTAGAGACATCTCAGGAATGGGACAGTGAGACCTGAGACTGGAAGTTGGGGCTAGGGCTCAGATCTTTTGGCCTCAAACCCAATGAAGGTCAATGTTCCAGCCAGATGGAGCCAGCTGCCCCTTTTCCTGGGATTGCTCTCACTCACTGCAGTGACCCAGGGCAGGGAGGGGGGGGGTCATCTAGCTGTGTTTGTCTACTTATACCAAACAGATCAGCCTAAATAATGGGAAAAGGGTTTTACCAACTCCACATCCAATAAAGGACTAATAGCCGAAATACATAAAGTATCAAAAAACTTGGCATCAAAGAAACAAATAGCCCAATTAAAATGGGGCACAAATCTAAACAGAGATTCCTCAAAAGAGGAAACTCAAATACCTGACAGATCCATGTGTGGCTTAAACAGAAGCCAGCCTGGTCTATCTCCACTCAGGGGGTGGCTCTGTCTTCTGGATCACAAAGGGACACTTGGAAGGGCTAAAAGGAGACAATGCCAGCCTGGCCCAATGTCTCCTCAGGATGGGTAGTAGAACCCTGAGAAATGACTACTCACTGGCTCCCCTGTCTGGATTGCATGGTGAGCCTCAGGGCCCATCCCTTGATGGGAATCCACAGTGGAGGCTGAGGAGGCACAATG